TGCTGATGGATGAGAGTCAGATACCAGTATGACATACCAGTCTTATTGGCCAGTCTCAACTCTTGCTATGTATATGACAGCAAGATTTGCCATTGGATAAAGAACCAGAGTGCCAGAATTTCTATCCATCATCTGATTATTTTTATTCAATCAATATCTCAATACTTCTATTCTTTACTGAAGCCAAAGACACTTTCTTGATATCCAGTTAGCAAAAGGGATAAATTCTTTCATCATCCAAAGAAGAATCTTAGGGATTTCTTTTCCTAATAAATTCACTGTTCCATAAGGAAAGGAGAAGGGAAGCAACTGTAAACTGGAACACAAGGATGAAGACCCCTCTTTTTGACAATACAGTTTTTAATGAGCATCTAGAATAATGACCTGAGCACTAGGTTTAATGCCTCTTCTCTTCCAAGTTTTGGAACTAATTGCAGGTTGACCAACAAGCAAGAGCATTAATATATCCACTAGCCACATATACTACTTACCATAGATCTACCACATTCCCGTGATAACCCAAACTAAGGGCAATTTTGTTCTTTCTTGCATCTCTAGAATAGATTTAAAAGATTAGTTGAAGAAAACGCACCACATGTAATTCCATTTTGCAATGTATAACTCAAGTACAGAGTCAAACCCTGTATGTGGTTTCCAACACTTATCTAGGCAACAAATCTTTCAACCTTTATGTAACTGTTAATCACCAATTCCAGAAAGCTTGACTGATGCTTCAAGTGTAACATTATTTATAATTGCTCTATGCATATTCATGAAACTGAATGAAGACACATATAAATTATATGAAGCATTAGTAGTGGCTTGCAGTAAGCATTGGTAGTCACTAATAATGACTGATGCTGTTTGGAAGGATGTATTCACATTCAAAAGCAGACCTGGAATAAGAAGTGTCCCTCAAGTCTTTCTATATGCATACGAAAAAGGCACAATGTGGCAAGACGTAAAATGAGGATTAGGAAGCAGAGATAGATTCACTGAATTGTGTTACAAGTCATACCTAAGGCGAGCAATGCAGTGGTCCAGGTTGTTGGAGATTTCCATCAGCCATCCCTGCCTGTGACGTTTCAAAAGTGCTGCTTCATCAACCTAAAAACAATAGCAAAGGTCTTAGAACTCGCGTTTCCCCTATCCAGTCACTTCTACCTTTAGTTTTTCTATTAGCCTGCAAGAAAGAGTAGCAAATAGGTAAAGAGAATAGCCCTATCTCGGCCTTAAGAATATGGAGTGATTGTTCAAATACTTATTTTTCACCTCTGATTTTTTTTTATTTTTTTTTTACACCTTCTGTTCTCTTTTACTCCAGGTTCAAAGCAAGAAAAACAGACTTTTTGATACATCACTTCCCAAAAAGATTTTACAAAGCAAAAATTATCAATAAATTTGTACAAGAGGTAATATTTTTCTAATAATTTTAATTATTCATATTCTTTATTTTCATTGTTATATTGAAAAAAGAAAAGCCCAAATGTTTACAATTTATTTTTCAAATCTGTCTATTTTCTGTGAAAATAAAATTTCTATTTAATTAAGGAAATATTTTCTTTGATTAGCTCAAAGATAGACATTTCTGCCAGACTACCTAGCATGAAGCAATGGTTTGCTGAATAAAATTGACCCTCACTTTTGTTCTTCAACTACTGGTTGCAAATCTCAACCAAATATGGAAAAGAAAAGAGGAAAGCATTTTCTTGTCCCAGCTGGCTAATGCCTCTGAAAAATGGAATGGGTCAAAACAAAACTACGTCTTTAATTCCCTCTTGTCTGAACTTTGAAGCTCCAAACAAGCTCAATATCAAATCTGTACTCTCTTCTGGGCTCAGCTTCTGTGTGTGCCAGTGTGTATACGCATAAAAGACAGCTGGATAAAAATATAAAAGGATAGACAAACTGTGGAGGCTTTGGCACAGATTCCACATTAATGGTTCAGTGTACAAACTTGCACATTATTAATACTTTTATAATGAGCTATCAGTGGCACAAAGCAAGTGGCAAAATTAATTCAAGCCCATTTTCTGTGGTAGCAATAAACACTCACAGTGGTGGGTGTGCATAAGAACACAACCTGAGCATATTCTAGTATTTCATTAAAGCATTAGGGATTTATAATAATCCACCCTCTTAGTTTTCATTCTATTATTTCTAATTATCAACTATTATATGTAAATTAAATAAGTTCTGTATTCAGAAGTCGCTCGAACACCAGGAAATCTTATCTTTCCTAATCATTCTTCGTATGAGAAACCTTTCATCATTTCCCATGTCAGTAATAAAGACTATCCTTTCAAAAGCCCGGATTATGATAATACCAGTGTCATTGCCAATGGAATTATTCAATAAAGTCAGGTGCCGTGGGGGACAGCTTCTTTATGAGTTATTTAAATCAGCACAGGGGATATTAAATGGTCTGTACAAATTACAAGAATTGGGTTCATTTAAAGCTCACCATAACACAGATCAGATCTATTTAAATTTGTTACCACATCCTACATATTTTACTTTAGCCCTCCCTGATGGTCTTAATCTTTCACAGACTTGCTGTCATACTCAAGAAAACTAGCTTCCTTTGAACCACACTTTCAAAAAATATGCTCATTTTTTGATCAGTATCTCAGTAGTTTAAAAAATTGCACAAACATGATGAGCTAATGTCACTTCCAGTACAACCCTAGAGAGCTTAGTGAAGCTCATAGGAGATAGTCTGGCCCTCCACACAATTATTTCATAAAATTACAATCTGCTTCGTGTCAAATAGAAGAGGTAAAAGACTTGCACCATTAATCCCTTCTGTCTGAGCTTCGGAAGCCCTGGCTGACAAAATGACATCTCTTGCACAATTCATAGAATCAATGTCATTTGCATAAATAGTACCTTAAATAAATAATATGTACATATATATAGCTATCCACATGTGCTCCTGAGACTCATTTCCGACAAGGATCATCTCACAGGAGATAAAAACAGACAATATTCAGTCTCCTGAATAAAATCATCTGCAGCCGTAGAGATGAAAAGGACAAAGAACTGCTGTGAATGGCATTCACTGGAATCTTTCCTTTGTATTCTAGCATTTGAAAGATCATGATGACAGAGTAGAAGTCTGAATAAAGATAATTTATTCAATTATCGTTTATTCAATAATAAATTGAATCAATTTATTTCATCTGCAGGGAGTACCCGATGAGATCTCAAATACATACAAAACTCATGTGCTAACAAAAACACTTTTGCACCATCATTGGAAACTGGATAAAACCCATCCATGAATAGGACCTGAGATAGCCAGAGCAGGTCAGATTTACTGTATGCTATGTGGGCAGTCTGACCCATTATGTTTTGAAGTTTAATTATAATTACCATTGGTCAGATTATTGCAATATTCTTACCCTTTTCATGCAGCAAGTGACATGCCCACAGCAGAGGTCTGCCAGCTAATTCTCTCTATAAATGACTTTGGCTGAGAAGGCTAAACTCCCACTCCAGTCAGCTCCAACTGGAGTTTAGTTCTCAAAAATCTCTCTTCCTCTGGAGCAGTAACAAGAGGTCATCATCTGCAGACAGTCAAAAGAGCTCGATGCATTTTGGTCAGTCCTGTGTCTGCTCCACTAAGAATGTTTCCCCAGCATATTAAATTCAAAGGAAGTAATGAGGAAAGAAATGCATGGAAGTGTTTATTCTCAATGGTCAATATAATTAAAGATATTCACCACCATTTTCACAGAATTGCTGAGCAACAACTTTTGTTCAAAAATTGCTGCACTGTTTTTGTAGCCCATCGTTCCATCTGATTTGTTAGAAAAGAACCCCATGATAAGCATAATAGCTGAAAAATGAAGGTATTGGGAGAACCTAATGTTACTTTTTTATACATGAAAATGCATTTAATGCAAAATTTACAGGCATATATACTTACCAAGATTATAATGTTGGTGTCCTGGATTATACATGATACTTAAGGATATCTGTGGATCCTATCATACACTATGGCAATTGCTTGGACATTAGCAGTCTTTGAATCACAGATTTTGTTTATGTGAGGAAAGAGCTGGGCTATTTTAACATATTTGGAATGGAGAAACATTCCATCAGGATGAAAGACTCTCTACAAAGAATATATGCTGTGGGTGAGCTTCAGGAAATAGGGAAAATGATACTAGAGAACGTCTCACCCTCAGCATCTTCTCTTAGTAAAACTTACCTTCATTGCCTACAAACTGGGATTCTCATAAGTGCTTGTAATTAGCCTCACCATCTTCATACTGAAGCCAACTTTAAAATTCCCAGTTTTACAAAATCCCATTGACTTCAAAAAATCACAACACCAAGCAACTTCATTAGTTCCAATCTTGATGAGTACCAACATTTTTAACAGGTACTTTGCATTGCACCTGATAAGGGTGCCAGAGACATTAAACATTAATGGTAACATAACTAACACCTTTTTAACAGACTTTTTTTGGCATGAAAGTGCAGTTCCCATGGGAATTGCCTAAGTTACACCCTTTCACACGTGAAATGAGGGTAGCTCAAGCACTGAGAATGGCTCATCTGATAGCATTATTCTGCATTATTTGTGAAGCAATCATAAGAAGTTACAGTCCATATCCCTACAGTCTGATCCAGTGACTGAACAAATAGAGGGTGGAATAGCAGTGAAAAACACTCAGCAATGAAAAGGGCAGACAGATCTTACAAAAGAGTATTTTTTTTTGAGTATGACTTGTCAGGATTACTTGAGGAACACATCAGGAGAATTAGGGTTCTGACTCAGTATATGAAGGAGAGATTACAAAATGAAAGAAGCATCACTCACCTCTGCAATGATCCCTACACACCCAGCAATAACTGCAGCCTTTGCTTGAGCCCCACTCATCCCTCCGAGACCAGAAGTAACAAACACCTTTCCGGACAGGTCTTCTGCCTTCAAGTAGCGACGGCCTGCATTGAGCACTGTGAGCTGCACACAACACAATATAGCAATTATCAGGAACTATTTTTCCTAGAATCCTTGAAATTTAGAGGTCTTCTGTCCCTTTTGCAAACAGAATTTGAAACTGTAGGGTCATTGGGACCATGAAACTGTTCTAATCTTTTAAGAAGGAAACATGTTACAAAATGATGTCATTAAACCATTTGTCCTGATCATGTTTATTTCTCTCAACATGAAATAGAACAGAACAATCAGTGGTCCCAAACATACTTCTCTTGGGATACAAAGACTTATTCAGGATGGCTGCAAAAGACAGCTGAGGAAAACAGATCAGAAAACAAGCTAAGAAAATGTTTTTATCTGACACATTTGGTCAATTCATACTGCACTTATTGTAGCTAGATATGACCTCAGATTGAGACCTTGATTGCAGATCCCTTGATTGCAAAATTAGTCATATAGTCTATCTGAGTGGAAGGACGCTAATTTTATAAGGAGCAAGCAATCAGAATTTCTTTGGTAGCCAGAACATCCTCTCACAGCAACACAATCCACTCCAGTCACCAGCCACTGCAGGAGATACCCTCCTTCAAAAGGTATTGACAAATAGACCTCTCCCCGGTTTCTTACCACAGTCCCATGGACTATTCCCTGAGGCCCAATGTAGCAGTAGCTCCCTGCAGTCATCTGACCATACCTAGCAATAGCAATGAACAGAATGATACCACAGGTTACTCAGGCTGGAATGAATTCTGTACATGTCTACATGTTTCCACTATCACAAAAAAAACCCCAAACAAACAAAAAAATGCCACAACACCCCCAACCCCCACCCCCCGCCAAAAAAAAAAAGCAAACCAACTCAAATCCCTGTGCTTCAATTTGTTGTTAAAGATCTGCTATTACCAAACTCAAAACTAAATTGGTTGTCTGCATTCCTATGAAATTCCCAGGAAAGTGGCAATGGACATTCTCTATTCATGCCCCTTTCTTGCAGCTTCCTTATCTGCACACAGTCAGCTCTCCAGTGATTTTAATTTATTCTCTCCATGGTACACAACAGAATAATAATCCTGCTTATCAACTAGATGAACAGTAAAAAAGTAAATAATAAAAATTCAAAAAATTATGACTTTCTACTTCAAAGCTTTCTCTTAGCATGAAGGAATGCTTCATAACGTGTATTTTCTGTAGATTGCAAAACAACCACTGTAAAGTAGAACTAGTCAATGCTATAAGCAGGTTATGATTAAGGCTTCAAACTAATTCAGCCAAGTCCCACACACAAACCTAATACTAATTTCTAGCAGACCTCAATTACGTCCTTATATATGTGGCTGAACATAACTCAAACTCCTTAGTAATTCCACTTAAGTGTGTATTAATGTTTTGCAGCATTGGGACTTCATGCAGCACAATTGAAAGCCACCTGCATTAGAAATTTTAACTAGACACTGCTTGATGTCTGAACTATATTTTAGTTAAGTATTTGGTATATTTTAATAGTGAAGTATCTTCTTACATTGTTACTCCCAAAGCAAACATCTTCTCATATTCATCTCTGGTGGAATAGTTGGGAATAACCTAAGAAAACAATCAAAAGAAAATCCAGATAAGCAAATTAGAGATTTAAGCAGATCATTTTAACAGCCTACATTTCTCTACGGTGATACACAGAAAAACAGTGAAAAACAGGAAGAGTAATTCAAATGTTTTATTCCATGCATTCTAATATAAGAAAAAATATGTCTGGTCTTTCTGGCAGTGTAACTGTCATTCAAGTTTTAAGGAAAGCAGTTCTCTAGCCACAAAACTAGCCTGCAGAGAGATAGATATTGAATGGCTCAAAAGACTGGCAATGAACCAGTACGTTCACTTGTCCAGCTTGCCTCCCAAACAAAGCAGTTCAGATATCTGTGTGTCTGATTAATAATCATCTGATTGCTTATTGAGGGCTTTTAAATCTTCTAAACTGAGCCTAGCTGAACTGTTTTGGTGAAGCACATGTACAGCCCAGGCTCAGTCAGAACAGAAGTAGTCTCATAAGGAGAGGATTTTTCCCTCCATCACTGCAGACCAACACACTTGAGGTGAGAGCAACTGTACTGGAATAAATGCTGCAGAATTTGGACCCCAGGTTCTCCTATGCGTTGTAAGCTTAGGTAATAAATAACGTTTTAATTCAGAAAACACTTGGAAACTAAACAGAAGAGGAAGAAAAAGAGAAAACAAGATGCTAATACTTACCATGCCATTAGTAATGATTAATCGAGGAGCATACTGATGACTAAGAGTCCCAGAGGATGTCCACTGTACATTACTAGTGTTTGCTCTTCGGTCATCTCTGACAAATAGTGCATTACCAACCAGAACTGAAAGGAAAAGCAAGGAAAGTGAGGACATCTGTTTCCATCTTACATTTATGTTTCTTTGTGAAGCTGCTTAACTCTGAATAGGAAGGCAGCAATAGAGATAATGAGGTGTATTCACATATGGAATAACAGCCAGAGCTCTCAACACATTTTTGCCTTTAATAAAGTCCATTAAGAGATATCACTCAGCAGGA